GACCTTGAATGTGACCTATATGCTAAAAATAGCTTTTCTGTCTGCAAACTTTAACCTTCACCGTAACTTTTGAACCATGAAAGATAGAGACTTCATATTTAGTATGCCTACTACACTAATAAAGTTCTTTAAAATGACACAAAGGTCAATGACCTGGTGACCTTGACTGTGACCTATATGCTAAAAATAGCTTTTTTCGTACCTTTCACCATAACTTTTGAACCATAACAGATAGAGACTTCATATTTGATGTGCATAATCCACTCATCAAGTTCTTTCAAATGACATCAAGGCCAATGACCTTGTGACCTTGACTGTTATCTAAGCTTTTATGCTAAAAATAGCTTTTTCGATTTTTGTTGCCCCCGGGCGCATAGTGTTTCACAAACACATCTTGTTTTCTATGAATTCTTCTGCATTTACGGTTTGAAACGTTAAGATTTTGCTGTGGGATGAATCTTTCATGATTCTAGATTTTAGAAGGTGACTCTGAAAAATGACACCTTATCAACATACAGAGCAGTCAAACAGATGAAAAATGCTATTATCACCCTGCACTAAAGAGTCAGAATGTAAAAAAAAAATACAAGTTGCAGTAGCTGTACTGTGTCCGTGTCTACGTTTCTGCAAAGAGCTACTGCTTTCAAAAGAATGGATAAAAAGACAGCTGCAATTGGCAAGAAACCACAAAAAAATCAAATGGAATTAGTTGTTATTTTTCAGCCAAGAATATATCAAAGTTCTACCAATTGATTTGTATGAATTATGTTTTAGTAAATGAAATAAAACTCAATTATTTGCAATGTAATCTAAAGTAACCGAGATGAAAAATTTTTTGTGACCAAATACATTAGAATAGGAAAATTTTGTCTTAGTCGAAAAGGGCCACAAATATAAAGACTGACAATTTTTATATTTAGACTCGATTCGTCCCAGTGCACTTGAAATTAAAGACACAAGAGAGTCTGCCATATCTTCTTCAGATATGGATGTTTAAATTACTATAGACAATTAAGTCAAACTTATTAGTAAATTGTATGACGAACGAGATGATTTTATCTTTTCTATCGTCAACTTTCCTTATTTATGTAGTAATATTCCACTATCACCTGCATATAGTGTTTATGTCTCCCAACCCATTCACTACATATAACGTTCTCTGAGTATGCCACTTTTGAATCAAAGGCAGGCTAATCACACATTCATTGATGTGAGACAGGGCTTTCCAAAACCTCGATTAAAACATTTCTTACTTTCTGTCAATTTTCTTTTTCTATGTAGAGGGAGGGAGGGTACAATAAAATTTGTCAAGAATAACAAAACTTTTAACCGAAATTTCAAGAAATTAGGAGTAAACTAAAATGATAACACAAAAACATTCATCTTCCTACTCTGAAGATTATGAAGTAGAGAAAACAATATATATAGTATTTTTGATGATCTCCTATTCATTTTCAACTTTTTTTAATCTATCATCCCTTATCAAGGCACATTATCTAGACTAGAGGTCTAATTAACTAACATTGTATGAATTAAGACCCGTGTTCGCCTTTTCTCCATAAATGTAACACCCGTCGTGTGTAGCTTTCATAGGTTTCTTATCTCGGACCATCTCAATTCTAATTGTTAGGAAAAACAAGTCATTATATTAATAAAGAACCAAAAAATGGGGCCCAGATGATACGGAATAAAATGATAGCAAATTAATTTTTTTAAAGGCTCATTCAGTTTTTATACTCTTTCTGTGAATAGTACGCAGTAGCTACAATATTTTCCAGTTACATGTATTTTGTATTTGTCAAAGCATTCAGTCATTTAGATAAGATAAAAAGTTACTAGTATACGATAAAATTTATTAAAGTATACGAAAGACTATTAGGATCAATCTAAAGAGAAAAAAAAATTAAAAGCCATTATAACGCCTTTTGAAAAGGCGTAATAACGCCTTTTAGAATGAAAGGCGTAATAACGCCTTTTAGAATGAAAGGCGTAATAACGCCTTTTAGAAAGGTGTTATATTAATGCCTTTTAAAAAGGCATAATAACGCCTTTTGGAATGGAAAGGCGTAATATTAAACGCCTTTTAATTTTTTTCTCCTAGATTGATCCTAAAAGGCTTTCGTAGAAGTAGATAAATCAACAAAAAAAGCTCCTAAGAGCAATTTTCGGACAACATCTATTTTAAGCATGATCTATCGTTGTATTTTAACCTAAGATTTTAAAAGCGTCAAAGCTCAAACATCATGCCCTATACCAATAATTCACAAAAACTGAAGTTATGTAAAGTTTATATTAGTGAAATCTGAGTCTGAAACATGTTTCATATTTGGATATTTTATTTGAAAAAAGACGTGAATGGTATTCTAACAACCAAGCTCTGTGATAAACTTGATGACTTTAACTTTTTTATCGTCAACTTCCCTTACTTAAGCAACAATATACCTTCATCACCTGCATACGGAGTTTATATATCTTAGTTGATTCGCTCTACGTATGAACACTTTCAAAAATGAGGTAAACTATTGACAAACAAAGTGATGAAGCAAGAATATCAACAGTCTCGTTTAAAGTCATCATTTGGTAAGTACCATGGTTGATACAATGACCTTGTCAGCAAATACAATTTATCATTGAGTCAAATGCTGACTGACGTTTTTCATAATTGTTAGTCCATTATTTATACACTGAATTGACGAGAAATGTTTATGTTATTTCCCGATCATGACAAGGAGCACATGGCGGGTGTGACCGGTAGGTAGGTGATGCTCACTCCTCCCTGGCAACTGATCCCATCTCTGATGTTTTTGAGGTCAGTGTTTGCTCTGCTCCTATTTTGTATTGTTTTTATGGACTTTTGATTTTGAATACTGTTTGTTATCTCCATATGTTTCATGTATGGAGATAACAAACAGTTTTCGAGCTCACAAGTCCATTAAACAATACAAAAATAGTGGAGCAAACACAGACCTCCATAACATCAGAGGTGGGATCAGGTACATGCCAATGATGAATAAGAATTCTCTGCCTACCGGTCTCACGCTCCGTTTGCTCCTTGTCTTGATCGGGAAATAACGGGAAAAAAATCCGTGGACAACTCAGTGAGTAAATACTTGCCTAAAAATTAGAATGAAGAAAGTCAGTATGCATTTGACTTAATGATAAGTTGTATTTGTTGACAAAGTCATTGTATCTACTACAGAACTTATGAAATGATGACTTTAAACAAGACTGCTGATATTCTTGCTTCATACACAATAACTTAACTCGTTTTAGAATTTGTTCAACGTAAGATGTGCTCTTCAAAACTTGGGAAAATCTGAAGGGTAAAAATTCCAATGTTGTCTTCAGAATAGAATGAACGCTACGTGAGTTTATATTGTGGAAACCAATTTTTATATTCAAAAAAGACGCCTCTTGATATGACCCTCAGTTCAACATTTAGAGAAATTGACGATCGACGATTTATCAATAAGCATTTTACTTTCCTACGTGGATGCAATATATTCTTGTATAAAAAAAGTACAACAGATACTGGTGCATCTGCATATATTTGATATTATACTAACAAAAACTGTTAATTGTAGCCTAACATCAATATTTATAACAGGGTGACTTCACTTATCTATCACTTCCCTTATTTATGTAGCAATTTACCATTAAAACCTATAGATGGAGTTAATGTTTCCCAGTTGATTTAATATTAAAGAACATTTCCTAGATACAAACATTTTTTATTCTAAAATAAGTTAAGCTATTGACAAACAAAATGATAAAACAAGGGCATCAACGGTTTTGTTTCAGATCAACATTTTGCAAATGTTCTTGTCGATACAATGACGTATTTAGCAAATACAAGCACAATGCAGCACAAACACATACTAGCACTGATATAAAAGCTGAATAAACTTTAGAGGTACTGTGAGCACTGAGCTCACTAGATAATACCCCTGCCGTCCATATGGTAAAAATGGCAAAGTCCATGTTTTGCCATGGGAAACCATGGCAAAAATGGCACTATGTAACAAAGATTCTGTGAAATTTCATTTAATTTCAATCAGTGGTATAAGAGGAGTTGCGGACGGGCATCCCAACCACTATATACCCCCGTGCTTTTCAAGCGAGGGTATAAAAGCAAAATAAGAATTCGCAGGCATAACTATCACAGGTAAAAAAATTCACAAAGCACAGCACATCTCAAACATATTGGCTGGTTTCATGTTTCCTACAATGCATCATTTATCTAAGGAAATCTGGCGAAGGTGAACTCATTATTTCTTAAAAATGTTTCTGCTTCAATGCATTAAGGTAATCGGATGTATCATGTATTGAGGCTTAATCAGTGAAGGGGTTTCCTTAATTTTTGAAAGGACCTTCTAGAAAAAAAAACCCGGAATCTCACCAAGAGAATCACGTAAAATCCAAACAAAAAGTATATTAAACCAAAATAAACTATAGTAAATTAAAGATTCTACCATAGTAAAATTTTTAAGTTTAATTTCAGATAAATCTATTATATTTCTTTAAATTCCTATAAATGATATTCTGATATCAAATGATCTATTTTTCGTATATCTTCATTTGTCTCCAAATAATTAATCATTGATATGTAATTTAAGAAAAATTAAGGCTTTAAATTTTCAAAAAAGTTCTAGAGTAAAATTTCATAGAAAATCAAAATATCAAAGTACTTATTATAGTTAACAACAGCAAACTAAAGTAATTTTTTTTGTTAGGGAATTAACATCCAAAGCTTGGCTGTAATTACGTGCACAATTCAAAGCATGAATGTTGAATCTCAAGATGCAGGATTTCCATGGGCCAGATACTTAACACGCGTCAAAAATCTTGAAAACTCGTCCCAATGATAGTATGAATCATCATCATCATCTATGGTCTCTTAATTATTACAGGAAATAAACTTGATAAAACATTTTCAAAAATAAGAGTCTGACGAGGTTTAGTTTTTTTTTATTTAATGATAAATGTCAAAAATGGTAGCAAAATATCAACGCATTAAACATCTTACATTTTTAGTTGAACTTCATTCAAAATTGATAAGTATAAACGCTTTCCCCGGTCCACTGACGTAACGAAATTAGCATCTTATTTTACTGGGTCCTGATTATAAACTTGTAAAATCAACTTTTTATGGAGATTCGTACCCAACAGCAATCAAGCTCAAAATCCATTTAAACGATTTGCTGTAGAATAGTAAGATATTCTTTTAATAAAGCCATTTTGATGAGAGATTTCATATGAATTTTAAAGGTCAACTGTTTACGGTCTCTTCCATCAATGACATATACGGATCAATAAAATTTTGCGCGCTTTCATACATATGGTTTTTAGATATCCTAATTCATTCAATATTGAGAATACTTTAATCAATTTATTCACTTATACAAGTTACTGACAGATAAGTAAATATCCTAAATTTTCAGTTTTCACCTTGAAATTAAGATCAAGTGAACGAAAAAAGTCCGTAGACAAATCAGTGTGTAAATAATGGCTAAAGGATTGGAATTAAAAATGTCATTCAGAGTTCTATTTAACGATAGATAAAGGCATGATTCTACACATCGATACATTCTTAAAAAAAACTAAAAAAAAGTTTTATTCTATGATATACATGTATATTGCTCAAAATGCAAGCTTTTATTAAATAAATATTATCTAAAAGAAAGCAAAATTTTAATTGAGCTAAAATAACTAGAAAGTGAAGAAAGTTGATACATTTGATAGACTCTTTTGCTCAGTTAAGGGTCATCTTCCACCACAATAATTTGAACAACAACCACGACTAGCAATACATTCGCAAAACCTACACACTAACTGGTATGGGAATGGATTATATGGATTACCTCGCCAATAACTTCCTGCAATGAGAAAAATGTCGTTTTTTAAGTTACAATACTATAGTCAGCTTTCAAAAATATAAGTTCAGTCAGAACATCTAAGTTCAAAAACTATTTATTACAGTTCAATTTTTATAACATATTTGAATTAAACAAAATTATACAATATTAAATTTAAAACCGCTCAGAAAACTGAAGTTGACATCAAAAAGATGATTAAGTTTCTGATTGACAATATCTATGTGGTTTTTTTGGAGAACAAGTCTTCCAACAACCTATTGGAATATCTAAATATGAAACAGATGTGTTAGACTCTGTGTTATTTTTTATCTCAATCTCACAAGGATATCGTATCGACATAAGAATGGAAATAACCATTGTTAATTAACAATACATCGTACATATATCTAAATGTCGAGTTGTGGGCCACAGCAAGCGTTTTCTTCTTCTCAGGCATTAGATTTCGCACAAATTCTGCTTCATAGGAATACAAAAGTAGGTCTGCCAACAATGGGGCGAAATTGGTACCCATGGGAATTCCAATAGATTGTTGGAAGACCTGGTCTCCAAAACTCACATAAATATTGTCAATCAGAAACTCAATCATCTTTTTGATGTCGACTTCAGAGTACTTGTGTGTACAATCAGAATGTGTTTAACAAAAATATTTTGCAAATGACAAATGACAAGGTAAGTAAATATCCTTGTTCCATTTTTATTGAAAAAGCAGCTGTCAATGGTATCGAAAAGCCTGGACTTTAATTTATCGTGGAGAATGGTTGTGTATAAAGTTGAAAAGTCGTAAGTTTTTAAGCCGTTGATTTTGGTGAAATCTTGTGATTTCAAATTGTCCAAAAGTTTAATGGAATTTTTAAGTATCCATATCTGATTTACACCACTTCTGGAATATATTGTTGCACAGTACTCTTGAAGTTTTTCCTTAAGTACTGTAAATATCTTAGTGAGGAGTAAAGAAGAAATCAAGAATCAAGAAGTTAACGGTAAGAACAGAATTAACACCAGTGGCAGGTTATAGTAGGGACCTGATGTTATGTTATGGGTGAAGTAAATCTGAAGAAGATTGAGACAACCAGTTCTTTCATATCAAAAGGAACCTAGGGGAGAAACAAGGTACAAAATCCATACCCAGTCGCCGTCTGTAGATAAGGAAAATTTTTAATGCAATGTGATTTTCCCTCAGATAGAGCGGCCCAAATTATAATTCTAAGTATTAATTCAGGCAGAGTCAGACAAAAACCTATGTACTGTATAAATATCCCTTAATAACCCAATCATACACGTTACAAGAGATTGTTGAATGCAACCATCTGTATAGATTAAAACAGTATATTTTTACAAGTTTCATTTACAAGAAGTGTTTTATTTTTCCCATTTGGCATTTTTTTCCATTTCAATACTAGTAATCGAAATACTTAATATTAAAATGTCAAGGTACATTACAACACGCTGCTTTAGATCCACCCAAAAAATTACGAATACGGAATTCCCATCAGCATATTAATGTAAACTTCCGGCCCCCTTTTAGCCATTTCTCTGATTGTTGAAAGAGTAGATCGAGGTTGACGAGAGATTTTTAATTTTTGTGTGATGCGCACTTCTGGTTGAGATCTCTAAAGATGGCCACAGAAAGAATATGGTAGCAGGGATTTTATCTTACGGAGTTTCAGACGAAAATACAAGTGGAAATGACCGACCTAGACATAATTAAAAGACGAAAAATGTTACTGAACTTTAGATTGTTAAGCGTAAACTTTCTGAACAAACGAAAGAATAAAACGTCAAACGTTTAAAATGCAAAAATCGTTTTCGTAAATTTGAATTTTGAACATTTAAGGTAAAAATCTAAAATATTAAAATTCTAAAACCTTTTTAGAAATTTGAAAAGTTAGGTTTTTGAACTAAAATATTAAATTTCAATATACAAAGGAAGGATATGGAGATAACGAGCAGTATTCAATATCAAAGTCCATAAAACAATACAAAATAGGAGCAGAGCAAACACAGACCTGTGAAACATCAGAGTTGGGATAAGGTGCCATGGAGGAGTGAGCATCCCCTGCTGACCGCTCAAACCCGTCGTGTGCTTGTCATGATCGAAAAAAAAACAACGGAAAATCCGTCGTCAAATCAGCGTATGGATAATGGACTAACATATTGGTATGAAAAACGTCAGTCAGCATTTGACTCAATGAGAAATTGTATTGGCTAACAAGGTCATTGTATCGACCACAGAACTTACGAAATGATGACTTTAAAAGAGACTGCTGCGCTGATATTCTTGTTTCATCAACTTGCTTGTCAATAATTTACCTCATTTTAGAAATTGTTCATACGTAGAGCATGATCTTGCGTATCGAATCAACTGAAATATATATACTCCGTATGCAGGTGATGATGGTACGAGTATATTGCTGCATTAGTAAGGGAAGTTGACAATAGAAAACTTAAAGTCATCACGTTTATCATAGAGCTTTGTTTTAGATTACCATTAACGTCTTTTTCAAGTAAAATATCCAAGTATGAAACAGATGTGTCAGAGTCTGTGGTATCTTTTAACTCAAGCTCACCAGGATATATCGTGTCGACGTAGGAATGGAAATTACCATTGTTAATTTACAATACGTCGTCGATATATCTAAATGTCCGGTTGAAGGCCACAGCAAGTGTTTTCTTTTTTTCACGCATAAAATTTTGAACAAATTCTGTTTCATAGGAATAGAAAAATAGGTCTGCTAATAACGGAGCGCAGTTGGTACCCATGGGAATTCTAATAGATTATTGGTATACCTGGACTCGAAAAACCACATAGATATTATCAGTCAGAAACTCAAGCATCTTTTCAACTTCAGAGTACTGTCTTGTGAGTGCAATCAGAATATGTTTAAACAAAATAATTTTCCAAATGACCAATGGCCAGTAAGTAAATTTACGAGTTCCATTTTCATTAAAGAAACAGCTGTCATTGATATAAAAAAGCATGAACTTTAATCAGTTTGAGTTTTTTGAAATTAAGATATTTGAACCAATATGTTAACATTCTAAAAATCAAAATCATTTAAGAAATTTAAATTGTCAAGTGTTACACGGACCGTGAAGGCATTTTGAATTCATTTAGACTTAATTGGATGAACTTTATTTTCCTTGTGACCTAAACTATTCCTGTCAATCCTTAATATGCTAATCTTTTTTTAAGATTTAGAAATTTATTGTATGTCGTTTTACGTCTGATTAGAGAATTTTTCACTCATATAGATACCTTACTAACAGTGAAGGACTTCAAATTTTGACCTCTACTCGGCACTCAGGGCCATTTTGCAATGGGGGATCTTAATCCGGCCAACGACCGCCTGGAGACGTTGCCTTGACTTTTAGGGTCTCATCCGAAGGGCCCACAATTTTCACTAGAAAATGGTTTTCGAGGAGTGAAAGTTGCCCGCGTGGCGCTGTGGTTCGAATCCCACTGTGGGACGCGGAGACCAGTCCTTCGGATGAGACCGAATAAACCGAGGTCCCGTGTCGCAGTAGGTGCTGGCACAAAAAAGATCCCTCCCTGCTCAATGGCCCTGAGTGCCGAGTATAGGACAAAATTTGCAACTCTCCACCGTCAATTGGTGGCGTCTTCATATGAGTGAAAAATTCTCGAGAGGGACGTTAAACAATATACAATCAATCGAGGAGTGAAAATTTCAATGGTATCCTCAAGTACATGCTGTATGTATTATACTTTACTAAATGTTTTATACAAATTCATGTAACACAGAACCGTGCGCACATAAATTCTGCACAGTCATGTTTTTTGAAGGGGATGGGGGGGGGGGGGGTATATCACTCGTTGTGAAACAGTGTTGACTGTTGCTTTAAAATTATAATTAGCTCACCTGAGCCGAAGGCTCAAGTGAACTTTTCTGATCAAAATTTGTCCGTTGTCTGTCGTTGTCGTTGTTGTAAACTTTTCACATTTTCATCTTCTTCTCAAGAACCACTGGGCCAATTTCAACCAAACTTGGCACAAAGTATCCTTGGGTGAAGGGGATTCAAGTTTGTTCAAATGAAGGGCCACGCCTTTTTCCAAGGGGAGATAATCATGAATTTGTTAAGAATTAATGGCATTTTAAAAAAATCTTCTCCAGAACCGCTGGGCCAGGTAAGATGAAACTCATGTGGAAGCATCCTCAGGTAGTGTAGATTCAAGTTTGTTCAAATCATGACCCCCGGGGCAAGTATGGGGCCAAAATGGCCGACCCTGGTTTTACATAGGAATATATAAGAAAAATCTTTAAAAATCTTCTTCTCAAGAACCACTAGGACAGGAAAGATGAAACTCATGTGGAATCATCCTCAGGTAGTGTAGAATCAAGTTTGTTCAAATCATGACCCCTGGGGCAAGGGTGGGGCCAAAATGGCCGACCCAAGTTTTACATAGGAATATATAGGAAAAATCTTTAAAAATCTTCTTCTCCAGAACCACTGGGCCAGGAAAGATGAAACTCATGTGGAATCATCCTCAGGTAGTGTAGATTCAAGTTTGTTTAAATCATGACCCCCGGGGCAAGGGTGGGGCCAAAATGGCCGACCCAAGTTTTACATAGGAATATATAGGAAATATCTTTAAAAATCCTTCTCAATTACCACTGGGCCAGGAAAGATGAAACTCATGTGGAATCATCCTCAGGTAGTGTAGATTCAAGTTTTTTCAAATCATGACCCCTGGCCCTGGGGATAGGGTGGGGCCAAAATGGCCGACCCAAGTTTTACATAGGGATATATAGGGAAACCTTTTAAAATCTTCTTTTCAAGTACTTCAAAGCTATGATTAGTAATACCCGGGGTATTTATATGGAATCATCCTCAGGTAGTGTAGATTCTAGTTTGTTCAAATGATGAACGCCTGGAAGGGGGGGGGGGAGTAAATTCAAGCCCGATGTGCTCAGGTGAGCGCTGTTGCCCCTGGGCCTCTTGTTTTTTAAAGTTCTCTTGTAACGCTGTTCATCTTTAATAAGTAGTATGCTTGGTAGAACATTTACTAGAACGCACTATGCATCGATTTTAATGTAGTTAAGGAATGCAACATAAGCATGGTAATTCAGATTCAATTGTTGGATTGTTGGGAATATTAAAAATACTTGAAAAATAATACAGGATTTTAAAGAATTTACACCTTGGAAAGGGAGCTATTGAAAATAAATTGGATTACCAATTAAAGAATAAAATTCTTGATATTAGTGACGATATGATTAGCCCTTACCTCCCATTGTGTTTCCACAGTTTGAACTCATATTACCTGTAATAAAATATTTTTTTTTTAGAAATAAAGAGTAATATTAAATGTTTTATGAAACATGATATAAAACAATTAGCAAACAAAAGCCTTCCCTTTTAACCAGACACACCCACTTTGCGCACTTTGACATGATCGAGTAAATGGAAACAATTCTTCAGTTTTGGAGATAACGAACAGTATTTGAGATCAGAATTCCATAAAAAAAAATACAAAATGATAAATTAATGAAAATCAAAATGATGAATATTTACATTAACATATGCAGAGTTCTTTTTCTAATGAAATATGAAGATAACGAACAACAACAAAGCTCAAAAGTGCATTGAAGTAATGCAAATTTGGAGCAGGGCAAACATAGACCTCAAAAACATCAGAGATGGGATCAGGTGACATAGGGGAGTAAGCGTCCCCTATCGTCAGTTCACATCCGCCGTTTGCTCCTTGTCAGGATTGGAAAAACCATCCACTGTGTAAATGATGGCCTCTCAATTTGTATGATAAACGTTAGTTAATATTTGATTTTAGATTTTCAAAAATTGTTTTCAAGTTCTTGTATCAACCATACAATCTGCTGGAGTTTCTGAATGACTACTGCTATATAGTCTTTCGAGAACTGATTCCCCAACTTGAATCCCGATTAGTACAAACTGTGCACTTTTTGAATCGATTTTTTAAAAAAATTTGGAGCAGTTTCTAAATATATAGAATCCAAGTGCTATTTAACAAAGTAAGTCAAAGGCACGCCAATTGCATCAAAATTATTTTCTGTACAATGATCACGACTTTATACACGAGCTTCATGAAAAATATACACGAGTAAAATTAAATCGCTATATTAGTTAATGTACAAATATTGCATTAACTTTCACACATAATTCATCATACACACAAAATGTTAAAATATATAATAAAGTATTATTTTCTATTAAATTTGGGCTTAAAAAGGTTGATAAAATAGTTTTTTGTAATGTTTTTTGTGGATTCGACCAGGGATGAAGTGTAGACAAAGAATTTTCTTTACATTAATTGACGTATTTAACGGATTGGATTAAATAAAAGAACAAACACAATCAATATTCAAGAACACAATGATTCAAACTGATTTTCTACATACTAAGTTTTCATTTAAGTTTGTTATCTCCAAGTGTTAAGCCCTGGTCTGACACTCTGTTTGAGCAGACTTGTAGTTTTGAACACTTACTTTTAAACACCCGTTTATAATAACGATCGCAGCGAGGCGGCCCAAAGCGCCGTTCGCGTAGCGAGTTCCATCAAACTCAATCTACTCAGAGTTATCGTTCCACTAATGTGTTATAGCGAAGCGTAATACGACCTCTGGTGAGAGATTGCATCAAACTCTCAATAATCCTTTGGGGGTGAAAAGCAACATGGTGGTTTAAACATAGCAACAAGTCAATTGAAAAAAAAAATTACAAACAACGATTTAATGCAGCCTCCATGCCACAAAACTATTGTTTGCGTCCTTAGTCAATAGGACTTTTTATCATATAGCTAATAAACAGTCTCTAATAAAATACTACCAACATTCTAGAGAATTTTAGCTTTCAATATCTTGACGTTTTATTCAACGCTGAGTTTGTATTGCGTATACGAGTATGTCCGAAGCATTCCGAATACGAGCGTTCAATATCGAATGTCCCGTTGCAAACAAAAAAAGTCGTCTGGTCAAATTCTCAGAGCAACATTAAAGAAAGGAAGTGGCATCTTGGTAAGATTTGTTTATTTTTTACACAAAAATGAAATTATATATGAAAAATTTAGTATGTTTATGTATTACACTCATTAAAACCCAAACAAGCAAATCATAACACTCGGTAGGGTCATCGAAATGATTCGATATGGAACACTTACAGGACAAGCGTAAATTTGAATACCGATCCTAAAAAAATCATTAATTTGAGTTTTTTAGTTGGAATAATTGCGTGGACCCTGAGGTTAACGCAGTAAATATATAAGCGAGGTTAAACCGGATGCCCTGAGCAAACGACGGGCTACGCATGCGCGAGAATGCTAGAGAGTTCGCACTATAGGTAACTTGCCCGTAGAATAATTCGCCCTATTCGAATGAAAAATTTTGCCATTCATTGGCAAATCGCGCTTTTACCTGTATTAAATCTGCACATTGCATTTACATATTCATTGGCAGATCCATTTTTCTCTCTTTTACATAAACTTTCATATACAAACTAAATATTGATTCTATGGTACAAGCACTTTAAGAAATTACGATATATAGATACATGTAACTTAACAACTTGAATGAAAAACGTCACTCAACGAATAGAGATAGCTTTTAAAATATAGAGCAAGTTTTCACCGGCAATTAGTTTTGAGCAACAAGGTTCGCAAAATAATTTAATATTTCAGCAATCTAAATATCGTTTGATAAAGGTCTGTAGCAAGGGCTTTTAATTTGTGTGTGTGTGTGGGGGGGGGGGGGGCTTTGACAAAAAAATCTGCGTAGTACAGAGCTGTGCTACTCATGAACCATCAGATCTCTATATTTCCCATGATAAATTTCCTCCGTATAAATCCAGAACAGATGTCAAGTCCCAGCCAGTATGAATTATACGTATCAAAATAACCCGATTTTTTAAACTGACAAAACTAACAAAACTATATAATAAAAAATAAAATTTCACAATTTTCCTTTGAGACTACAATCAGTTTTAAGTAGGCAGATCATTGTAGTAAAAGTGAAAAAACCTACATGAATATTCCCAACACCTAGAAATTTTTTTAATTGAGTATCAGTTAGAAAAAAACATGCATATGGTCCACGTATTGCAGTTCTTTTTTTAAAGGACAGCAACTTGTTATTATAAATTATGAGGAAATGTTTTAGCTATATAATAAAAGAGTTATCGAACTATATTGATGAATATTGGCACTCGTTGGCTGTACAAATGCACTCGCAAGCTCTTGCATTTGTACAACCAACTCGTGCCAATATTCACCAATATAAATTCAATAACCCTATATTATTTGACGTCATACTTTCGTCACTTAAACGGCTCGGGTATTTCCGATGTTGTCGGAAACTTCCGAGAAGTTTGGAATCTCGATCCCGATACAGAGGATGTAATTTCTTTTCATTGTTTTAGTTTCTTTTTTAATAAACTGAGGATAGGCAGTACAAGTATATGCTGTATATAGGTTTTTGATAGTAATTTAAGCGAGCTTGCCCCAACGGTCACACCGTACACTATTATATATTGGACTCTTTTGTTAACCCGTAAAAATTTATGCAATGAAACATATGGAGATAACAAGCACTATTCGAAATCAAAAGTCCATAAAACAATTCAAAACAGGAGCAGAGCAAACATGGACCTCCAAAACATCAGAGTTGGGATCAGGTGCCATGGAGGAGTAAGCATCCCCTGCCGATCGGTCACACCCGCCGTGTGCTCCATGTCATAGACGGGAAATAACGGAAAATTCCGTCGTCAATTCAGTGTATAAATAATGGACTAACAATAAGTATGAAAAACGTCAGTCAGCATTTGACTCAATGAGAAATTGTATTGGCTGACAAGGTTATTATATCGACTATAGAACTTATATAATAATAAATAATAATAATATAATAAATTTCTATAGCGCCCTATATAATAAAAATATCACCCTAAGGCGCTTTACATAGAATGTACATAAAACATTGCATATATTATTTATCACTTTAAAAAATAAAATTATTCTTATATTGAGAATGTCTTGTTTTGGTAAAAATGATAAAAAAGAATACAGTTGCAATGAATTAAAAATCTAATGGTTAAGAAAAACAAATAAAAATCACTAGATAGATAGATCGAAAAAGTTAATCAAAAGCTAATTTATAAAAATGGGTTTTCAGTTGTCTTTTAAAATACTCGATTGATTTAGCTTGTCGAATGTGCACCGGGAGACTGTTTCATAAATGGGCTGCAGAATAGTTAAATTGTCTTACACCTTATGTCCCGGTGCGCACCCTCGGTAAATTGAGTTGCAAACTTCCGTCCGATCGTAGAGTACGGTTAGTTTTACGGATAGTAATCAGTTCCTGTAAATACTCGGGAGCAAATCCATACACTGCAAGGTAGGTATATACAAGGATTTTGTACCTCGGGCGGAACTCCACTGGAAGCCAGTGCAAGTCAGCGAGAATCGGAGTAATGTGATCTCTTTTTCTTTTCTTTGTGATAAGCCTAGCTGCATTGTTCTGGATTTTTTGTAACCTTTCCACGGAGCTCTTGTTTATGCCAAATAGTATACTATTTCCATAGTCCAGTCGAGATGTAACCAGGGAGTTCACGAGAGTCTTGCATGCATCAGTTGAGATGAAACTCCTAATTTTTCCAATGTTGCGGAGATGATAATTGCACGTTTTAATGATGGACGCTACTTGCTTTTCCATGGTAAGAAAGCTGTCAAAATGGATGCCGAGATTACGTACAACCGTTACACTGTTGATGACACTTTCTCCAACTTTAAGTTGTAAGACTGGCACATTTTTGGATTGGAATTTCGTTGTAAAAATTATCAATTCGGTTTTGTCCTTGTTTAATTTAAGAAGATTAGTCGACATCCAGGTCCCTATGTCCTGCAAGCAATTTTCAAGTCGTTTAAAATAGTTGTTCCAGTTTTCACGAGATTTTATCATGTACACCTGGGTGTCATCGGCATAGCAATGATATTTGAAACCGTGCTGACGACAAATTTCTCCAATTGGTTTAGGAAAAAGACAAAAAAGTTTTGGTTCCAGAACGGATCCTTGTGGGACACCAAACTGAAGATGGCAAGGGTCTGACGTTTCCGTTCCAATGATAACATGTTGCTGCCTGTTAGTAAGCTGATTGCAAAGGGTCGCTTAAAAGATTTTTGTCAAGTTGTTCATCCAGGCGTGTGGCAACAACTTTTTTCTAAAATTTTAGATATAAAAGGGAGGTTTGAAACTGGACGGTAGGCCTTATAGACGTTTTTATCGAGTCCAGATTTCTTCAGTAGTGGTCTTACTAATGTCTCCTTCAACAGTGATGGTACTTCTGATTGGTCGAATGAGATATTAATAATGTTGGTAATAAATGGAACTATGGCATCCAAGTTCTTTTTTAAAATCGACCTCGGGAGTGGGTCAAGTTCACACGCTTTGGTCGCTGCTTTGCCTAGAATTGCTCTCACTTCGTCGTTTCTTGTGGGTCTGAAGCTCAGCAATGGCTCGCCGCTGAAAGGAATATCCTTATCCATAGTCCTTTCCATGTTAAAGGTAGTAAGTTCTTTCAGACCGTCTCTAATTGTGGTCACTTTGTTAATGAAGAATTTAGAGAATGCATTAGACAACTCTTTATTGGATGTCGATGATGGTAGAATAGTTTCCTGTTGTTTTCCCATCAATGACTTTGACAATTTGAAAAGTTGCTTGTGGTCCTTACCGCATTCTTCAATCTTTTGAGAAAAATAGTCTCGTTTGGTTTTACAGAGAAGTCTGGCTGTCGTAGAACACATGTCCCTAAAAACATTACGAAATGATGACTTAAAACAAGACTGCTGATAGTCTTGTTTCATCAACTTGTTTGTCAATAATTTACCTCATTTTAGAAATTGTTAATACGTAGAGCATGCCCTTGCGTATCGTATCAACTGAGATAAGTAAATTTCGTATGCAGGTGATGAAAGTATATTGCTGCATAAGTAAGAGGAGTTGACGATAAAAAAGTTAAAGTCATCACGTTTATCATAGAGCTTGGTTGTTAGATTGCCGTTAACGTCTTTTTCAAGAAAAATACCTAGATATGAAAAAGAGGTGTAAGACTCTGTGGTATCTTTTATCTCAAGCTCACTAGGATATCGTATCGACATAAGAATGGAAATCACCATTGTTAATTGACATTACGTCGTCAATATATCTAAATGTCGAGTTGAAGGCCACAGCAAGTGTTTTCTTCTTCTCAAGCATAAGATTTTGCACAAATTCTGCTTCATAGGAATACAAAAATAGGTCTGTTAATAACGGGGCGCAATTTGTACCCATGGGAATTCCGATAGATTGTTGGAAGACCTGGTCTCTAAGAAGCCCGCACCGTACAAACAGCTATTGATGAGATGGCGGGACATGACAGGCAAAACCTATTACGCTACAAGGAGAAAGACAATAGCGTCAGGGTCCCTCTGGTGACCACATATCATCCCGTCCTTAAGAACCTTAGCGGTATCCTTCAAAAGAACCTACCAATTCTCCATTCAAACAAACGAATGGCAGAGGTCTTTAAGGAACCCCCATTGGCTGCATACAGATGCCCAAGGAACGTAAAGGACATGGTAGTAAGAACCAGACTGGACAACCCATTACCTAACGGGGGCTTTAAAACTTGCTCTGACAGAAGATGTCTTCTTTGTAAGCACAGCACTGACACAGACAGTTTTAACAGCCCTGTTACAGGCCGCAGCTACAAAATACTAGGGAGTTTGTCCTGTCATACTGACAACTGCATTTATCTCATCAGTTGCAAAGTTTGCTCCAAACAGTGTATTGGTGAAACAGGAGATCTCCGCAGGAGAGTCAATAACCACCGTTCGACTATTAGGACCAAAAAACTCAATGAACCCGTTGGGGAACATTTCAACCTTGAGGGTCACAAATGGGAGGACATGACAGTAGTGGTGATTGACCATAACCCAAGATGGACAGATGCTCAGAGAAAAAGCAAAGAAAAGTTCTGGATGCACAGATTGAAGTCATTCCGCCTAATGGTATTAACAAACTGAATGACTTCACCAGAATGAACGTAAACTAGACCCAATTCCTGATGATACCAAACAAGATTATTCTCTCAATTTAGTGTAAACTCTACAGTTAATTTGCGTCACCAACTCTCGAACAACTCTCATAACTATGTATTGCTTACACTTTTTTAATTATTTTTTCCCGGTAATAAGTCCTTAAATATTTCAAAATTTATATTGATCATAATTCATATGTTTTAATATCCCTGCTATATTATTTTTCTTCAATTATTCTTTATTAAGTAAAGTTACGCCATTTTGAGAGAATGAAACAATGTACGATTTACTGATTGTCGCAATTAATTAGCATAATTAATCCGTTCAATTATGTAAATCGCACTTCACCCGAGTATACCCGATAGACCGGACGCATTTCATAGCGGTCCGGATTTCTTTCTTTATTAGTGTTCTTAAAAATTTCCAATTCATCATGTAATTATTAAGTATGTAAATATCTAGTGTTTAGTAGTTTAGTAGTAGTGCTAGTTGTTTTTGTTTCTCTTTTTCCTTTGTTCTTATGACTTTTTAACTTTTTTTCTTTGTCCTGAGGAAGGGACAGGGCGTCCCGAAAATTTGACAATTTTTATTGTTCGTGTCGTTGGTCATTTTTAGTGCTTTATATATATATATATATATATATATATATATATATATATATATATATATATATATATATATATATATATATATATATATATATATATATATATATTAATCAAAGTTGGATGAATTCAAATGAAATAAAAGTACATTGCTACAGATATTACAGGGTGGTAAAAATTGAAACACAATATAACTTCTCTGTTTACCATGTCTCTACGTGCTAGTCACTTTCTACCTACATTTCCTTGAATAATTTATCCTATCTCGCTGTAGTCTCACTGACTCTCGCCAGAGCTACGCCAAAGCTACTTTGAACTCCTCGGGTTTTATAATTTGCAGAATACCGAAAAATAAAAAGTTCCGAACACATTAGTAGGGGTGATGAAAGTATAATATAATAAATAGTCGACGACAAGCACCAAATGTTAAAAAGCTGTTTACCAAGGCCCGTTTTACATACATTCTTGATAATTGTAACAGTGTTTTCCACACATGTGATTGTCTCTTTTCTCCAATTTATGGCAGTGATTACACACTTCGTAGTCTAGATCAGATCCGTATGATAGCCCGGGTGACAGCCCGCACTCCGTCCTCGTTACTCCATTAGCTGCAAAAAAGAACAAACTAACACTGTCAATAAACGAGTCTCTTAAGATTGAAAAAGAAAATAAAAGAAAGACAAAACTGTCTAATGAAAAAGGAAAACAAAACAACCTTCCTGAAAAAAAGTCTTAGACGAGACTGTATATGTAATATTTCTTAATGAATGTCTACAATAGAAAATGGGCTTATATTCAGAAAATGAAAAATATTATCATTCTAAATGCTAAAATGACAAATTCCTTAAAGGTATTAAAGAAAGGTTGAAAAAAGACAACATATTGAGAATGTTAAGTCTGTTTTAGTTTACCATCTTTTCTAATCAGGCTAATAAATTTAATAATAATATTTTCTAAATTAAATAAACGGAAGAACATTTTTCATACATTACCTGCACAACATTTCGAGACTCTACCTGAAAAACATTATTTTTGTGGTCATGTTAAAGTTATCTTGTAGGGAAATCAAATGAAACATGGAGATAATGAACAGTATTCAAGATCAAAAGTCCATAAAACAATACAAAATAGGAGCAGAGCAAACAGGACCTCCAAAACATCAAAGGTGGGATCATTTTAATAACATTACTAAAAATCACCGATTCTACTAGGAGTATTACCCATGACATATGCAACCAGACTGTCAACTCAAGTTCATAACAATTAGCTTCTTCAAACTTCTTCCTCTTTTCTGGGTATTCAGTTTTCACATCATGTAAATTTTTGATAATTTTTTCAATTTTTTTATTTTGATAGTATAAACTACATGTATGTTGTTTATTGCCTTCTATTTCAACCAGGCATATAAATGTTATTCTTTTTTCAATAAAATAATGATGTAAATTTGTCATAAATCTTACCTGGATTACATTTATCCAATGGTGGTTGGTCCCAGACACTACCTGAAAAAAAAACATTATCTTTGTGGTAATTCTTCAAAGTGAATTTGGCGGGAAATCAGAAACTTTTATATACATTGTTGAAACTTATCCACGTATGGCATATACAGTCTAGCAAGATTGTCAACTCGAAATCATATCAATTCACTTGTTCAAACTCCACCCTCTTTTCTGGGTGTTATCATTACAATTATCACCTTAGGAAAATTTGGGGGTTAATGTTTGTTTTCTACTGGTATGTTTATTTACTACATTTGTTTATATTTTAACAGTCGTGCCTTTCTTCTTACTTGTTTGCTTCTTATGTGTTACCATGTATACTTTGCCTATCTCCAATTGTCCTGGAGATAGATCAGTTTCATTAATGCATTGTAAGTCAGTTGTCAGTCCCCATGATCCAATATGTTTTGTATATAATAAACTTGGTACGGAAGCGTGTTATTGTCACGTACTTTTTTTTTAAAGTTTGGAATTCCATCTTTAAAGTTGGTAATTCCAACTTTAATATCGGCTTTTCCAATTTTAAAGTTGGTAATTTCATCTTTAAAGTTGGTAAAGACGTAACGTCAGGAATTGATACTAATGAAAAATAATACGCTTAACCCGTTTTCAGCTTACATTTGTGGCATAGTCTTGATAATAAACATGTAGTGTTTTAAATGAAAATAAAGGATTTTCTCTAGCCAATAATGTTGTCATGAAAAGAAGTATTATTACAAGGTATGTACACATGGACAGACTACTATATTCCGGAATAACGTCCATTTCCGTCATGTCCCGTTGTAACAGAAATATACCTTCAACAGAAAAAATTCTAATAAAAAGTTGAAAAATCTTCTCGCATCTCTTTGATATTTCACAGGATTGTTCTCTAACATCATATTTAGACATAATATGTTTGTTGACAATCTCTGTTAAGGGATTAGTTACCCACATCCTTTGAAATAAAAGTCCTTTAAGATGTCCCATTAAATAAAAATTTAGTGTTACACATTTTCCAAGGGGAAAAAGAAAATTTTGCCGGTAGAATTTACAAATTTGAATTGACATACAATGAGTACTTTTAAACAACAACCTGTTCCAAAAAAATAATGAAAATTCT